CAGAAAAGCAAGTTTATTTTCTACGTATAGACTTTCTGCACAATTTATTTGGTACCCTTCAGCGTCACTTGAAATATGGTTGTTGTTACATATTGAAATCCCAGGTTGCAGTGGTTTCTTTTAACCCTTTGATTTTTTTTGTGTGTGTGTGATATTTTTGGTCAATCAGAAATTTATGCTTTTTTGTGTCTTTCAATGTTTTCCTCTTGGATTTCTATTTTTTTTATTGCATTTAGGACAGCCTTTGACAGCCCAATGTTATTAAAAAAATTTGACTCTATCTCTTTCTAATACAGATAGTTTCCTTTTCACATTAAGCTCCTTTGTTAACCTACTAGTGGTGTGTGTGTGTTTGTGTACATTTGGTTTGAGGTGGGTCTCGTACCTTAATTTTCTCTAAGTGTGTGATTAATTATACTAATGTCATTGATTGCAGAATCTGTGTTTAGTGTTTTGATTGAAATGTGCTAAGTTCATGGTTTAATTGGTAACTTTACAATTTTCCCACCAAAATACATTTATTTAGATTCTTCTTTGTCCCCTGTGAAGTGTTCTTTGTAATGATCTTTCACATTTCTTTGGGTTTCTGTTTCTGTTGCTTTGTGAAAGGTCATGGTCTTTACATCTCCTATGGTTCTACGATACTTCAACTCTGCTGTCCTTAAACCATAAGCCAGCACACTAGACATATCTGTGTTTTCTGCTGCTATGGAACAGTGGTGAGAAGAGGGGATAGTCATGTGCTTCACCATCATAACTCCGGAAGGAAGGGGAAAGGGACAAGGCATTGAGCCCTATTGTTCCACAAATGCTCTTTTCTTAGAACTCTTCCTATAGGCCCTTTAATTTCTTTCATTGTACTTTTATATTTTCTTCCGCCTTCTCCCCTGGCAGTGGGATAGTTCAAACTGGTTCTTTTGGTTTATTCAATCATGTTTCTTTAACCCTAGCATGGTCTCCATTAAGTCTAGCCATTAGTATTCTATTGTTCCTTGTTCTTGGATATCTGGATGTGGGATGATTTTGAAGGAAGGAAAGGTAGTTT